AGAGCACCTGCTATAGGGAGAAAAGAAGCCAGCCACATTTGACCATGTGTGAGGATGCATGGAGAGGTGTGTTAGGTGTGTGAAGACCTAAGCTGTTACCAACTCCAGGATAAACCAAAATGGCAATGACTGTTCACAGAAACACCTGAGTATATGTGAGCTGTGGGTACATGCACCCAGCAGATATGAGGTTTGAAAATACTTTAATGAATCCTTTAACCCACAGGCCCACAGACGACGGCCCAAAGATCACCTGGCCTGTCACTGAAGACCTACAACCTACAGTAGCCTTAGCTCACACACACACTCTCTAAGTGACTTGAGTTACAATGGTGAAGTTGGATAGCTGCAGTCTGTGCGACTTATAAAGCTAAAATCATTTGCTATTAGGTGATGGGAGATGCCATTCTGAAATCTGTCTCTTATTGGTTGCTGAATAAAGCACTATTGGCCAATAGGGAAGCAAGATAGGTGGGACTAGGAGACGAGGAGGACAGAGAAAACACAGAGAGTCATGATGTAGCCGCCATAGGGGTAAGAAGTCTGGACCCTTGCTCCGGTAAGATGAACAATTATGGAGTAAATACTTAAGTCAGAGATAGCCAGTAAGAAACCAAGCAAACTGCCAACAGCTTCATAATTAATATAGCCTCCTGTGTGTTCATTTGGGACTGATGTGACTCTGGAACCAGGCTGGCAGGAAGGCTTTACCCAACAATTAGGTCCTTTATAGAAACATATGCGTATATATTCCTGTTCTAAATGATTGACAGCCCCCACAGGCAATGTTTTAAAGGACTGTGGTGGGAACACTACAATGGAATATTATTCAGTCCTGAAAAAGGAATAGAGCATTGCCCCTGCTAAAACCCCTGGGTGAACCTTAGGAACCTCACGCTAAGTAAACGAAAACAGGCGCAAGAGACCACTTCCTTCATGGTTCCATGTGCCAGATCGGAGAAATCCACAGACAGACAGGAAGTATGGAGGCCTCCAGGGCCAGGATATGGGAGTAAGAACACTTTTCCAGGCGATGAGCCTTTGCTGACACTGGGTGGCGGCTTTGTGACAGGCATGCTCAAGGGGAGACTTTGTCCTTCAGACTGCCAGAACAAAACACCACGGACTGTGTGACTTACAAGCAACAAGCGTATTTCACACATCCAGGGGGCTTAAAGCCCAGGACCAAAGGTGCAGATGGAGCCCATGACTGGGGGGGGGGGCGCGGCTTCTAGACAGCACAGTGCTCCCATGCGGTGGGGGGAGCAAAGATGCTTCGGGGGCTCTGGGGAGCTCTTGAGGGCTCTAGGGCTCTCAGATTGGGGGGGCAGGTATGGTGTAGAGAACGGAACTCACGGCCTTGCCTATGCTTGCCAAGACTTCTGCCACGGAGGATGGCTTAGTGGGCTGGAGAGATGGCTCACGGATCAGAACGCTTGCTGTGTGAATACGAGGACGTGAGTTCAGGTCCCAGCAACCACGTAAAAAAGACAGGCACGGCTGCACACCCACCGGAAACCCACTGTTGGCAGGTATGGAGACAGGAGGGCCACTGGGATTTACTGGCCGCCAGCCTCGCGCCAGGCTCAGTGAGAGACTCCATTTCCAGTGAGTAAGGTAGAAAGTGGTAGATCAGGCTGCCAACATCCTTCTCTGGCCTCTGGCCGTGGGCACAGGTGTATGTACCATGTGCGTATCGTGCATATACACCATACTAATACAAATGGGGTGGTGGGGGGAAGGGGAGTGTCTGTCGCTGAGCTATACCCTCAGCACTTGCTTTTATGTTATTCCTATTTAGCTCCGGACGACCTTGAACTCAAGACTCTCCTACCCCCAACTCCCCATTGCTGGAACGGCAGCATTGTTCTCAGACATCCTGTGATAGGCACCAACCCTCTTCTCAAGGATTCTACCCTCGGGGTCCAACTGCTATCCCCTTGGGAATGAGGATTTCAACATGCGGAGGAGGGAGCGGTCAGACGCGGATGTCTAAACCATAGCTTGATTCCTGTCTCGTGGTATCTTTCTCTCATGAGCTGCTTTTCTTAAATTACAGCAAGCACAGGGAGCCATCCTGTCTTGTCTGTCAGCGGCCCAGCTCTGTCCTAATATCTTCAAGCAGCCAACAGTAATAAGTAAACAAATGGACAGACCTCTGTTCTAATAAAACTTTATGTCCAAGAACAGACAGAGGGCCAGATTTGGTCAACAGGCCTCCTTTTACCAGTCTGTTTGGCTTCATGAGTCCCCTCTGCCTTCTCCAGTGATCTCTCTCCTACAAAAGGCACATCCAGACACAAACAGGAGGGGAGGAGGTTGGAGAAGGGGAGGAGGGAGTGAGGGAGCATTTCTTGTAGCACGGGCAGCTGAGAGGCTGGTCCTCAACTGTTGTTGTCGATCAACCTGACACACCTGGAAAGATCCCCAAGCGGTTTAAGATCGCAGAAACCAGACTAGGACACTTAGAACCCTTGTGCCCCCTCCTCATAAGATCCTAAAGACAGATCAAAGTGTGATTATTCCCAAGTTCACCCTGGGGAACCATTGAGTTTATTGAGCTTACACTCAGCACAGCACGAGGATAGACTGCAGCCAAGGTGACCCTAGACCAGCCACACCGGACGGTCTGCACCCAGCATGGATGACGGCTTCCCCGAAGCCACATAGATGAAGCCTCCCCTGCCTGTCCCCTCCCTGAGCCCCACAAGACCATGTGTAAGGTAGGGCAGAATTGTGTATTAGCGCCTGGGAGGATTGGCTGGACTCTCGGGTGATGAGCCACTGACCCTCCCCCCCATACCTCCTTCTTCTCTGAGGGGATGTCAACAGTCCACAGGCCCCATGGTTGACGCTTGCAAACAGATACAGCTAACCCGATGAAGGTGACACCTGTTTTTCTCAGAGGGTAGCCTTCCCCCACTCTCAGCAAGCGACCAAGTTCCCAGCCAAACACAGTAACCCTTCCCGGGTCCCATAATGGCCACAGGGTTGGGAGCTGGCCAGTGAGCGCCAGATATGAATGTGTGAGGGAGTGGTCATCATAAAGCCAGCCCTGACCCGTGGAGGAAGGGCACAGGGGCAGCTGTTAAGTACCCCAGGGGCTACCAAGCTGCTTATTTTCTTATGGTGCTGGAGTGTAACCCAGGATCTCTCACAAACCCGCCAAATGCTCCACCGCTGAGCCACGCCCAGCACACTCGCTTGCTTTTTGAAAGGAACATGAGCCTCTCTTGCCAAATGGATCCAACGCATAGAGGGAAGGCTGGACAGAATGTCCCTGGGCAGGAAACCTCAAGATGCCATGAACCCAGCTTGCTGCTGTGGGGGGGAGGGAAAGGTGGGAACATCGTGTGCTCGTACACAGACGATGGTCAACGAAGGAGGCCTTGGGCTTGGGGGGCCCAACGCAGGACTGCAGGACTCACTCTATAGGTGGCTTTTAAAGTCCAGGAGAGTTCACTACCATAAAAGGGAAGAGCTCACGGGGCGCCTAAACCGGCAGAGGAGAAAGACCTAGAAGGGAACTCAAGAGTCCTGATGTCCTCTACCGCCTCCTTCCCGTTCATACGTGTGGGATGCCCCTCCTCCTACTCTCCCTCCTCCTCCTCCTCTTCCCCCTCCTCCCCCTCCCCTCCTTCCCCCTTCCCCTCCCTCTCCTTGTCTCTGTGTGTCTGTCTCTCTGGGCCTTCCAAACCAACACTTTCTATACAACATTTCCCATCCACCCCGCCTCTCCCATGGAGCTCCCCCAGGCTCCTCCCTGGAGGCTGCCAGGTGCTCAGGTGGGAGCTGGGTGTCGAGGCTGTGTGGTGATGGTTTTCTGTGTGGTGATGGTTTTCTGTGTGGTGAGGGTTTTCTGTGTAGTGATGGTTTTCTGTGTGGTGATGGTTTTCTGGGACTGGAAGAAAGCCTGTGTCAGTCCAGAGAGAGGGGACAGTCCCAACTTCACTCTCAGAGGCTGTTTCCACGGAGCTCTGGGTTCAGGATCAGGCAAGCAGCAGACAAAGGTGTGTCAGCACTGTGTGACCCGGACCCAGTGATCGGTAGAGAGGAGGTGGGTGTGAGCCTGCCCCCCCCATAACCTCCCTCGGCCAGTGTAGGCCCTTGTTGCTTAAGAGAAATCAATTCATGTGCCAAGCTAATGAGTGTGCATTCGTGGGGGACGCGGGAGGTCAACTCCTGGTGTCACTGCTCAGGAGCTGCCCACCTTGCTTCCTGAGACGGTGGGTTAGGCCTTCCTTCGAGAGCTAACAAGGAAGAAAATGCTCACGGACACACCCACAGGCCGAGCTGGCGGAGGCAATCCCCCACTTGAGGTTCCCTCTTCCCAGGAGCCCCTAGTTTGTGTGACAAAAGATGACCAGCACGGGGTGGGGGTAAAGGGGAGGCTGAAGGAGGCCCAGAGGGTGTGCACACTCCTGGGAGGGACAATCCAGAGTCCCTTGTCACCTGGCTCCAGAGCAGGGAACGTCGCATTCAAGTCTCTCTCGCCGTGCCACATGGAGACTCGGGGAAGGATCCACAGAGGAAAAGCGAAATCCATTTAGGGTCATGAGAAGAGCCACAGCAGAATAGCAGGGCGGAATCTTAATGCAGTGGGAGAAGGGGATAGGAAAGCAGTCCAACGGTCTCTCCCTCCCCCTCCCTCTCCCCCTCCCTTTCCTCTCCCCCTCCCTCTCCTCTCCCTCCCCCTTCCTCTCCCCCTCCCTCTCCCTTTCCTCTCACTCTCCCTCTCCCCCTCCCTCTCCTCTCCCTCTCCCTTTCCTCTTCCCCTCCCTTTCCCTCTCCCTCTCCCCCTCCCCCTCCCCCTCCCCCTCCTCTCCCTCTCCAGCTTGCTCCAAACCCCCAGGCCCTCCTCCCCGGAGCACAGCACCTCCTCCCAGGTCACCAGCCCCACTTGGGGCAGCTAGATCCCCCCTGCAATCCTATTCTCCAGCTGCCACAGCACTCCCTGTAATTGATGGCTAGGTTTTAATTAAACATTGATCAGCCACTAATTAGTCTAATGATTGGTCTTGGGGAAGAGGTAAGGTTATCAAACATGGGGGAGGGGTGGGGGCAGGGGAAATCCCTGAAGGCCGCAGCTTAGGTGAAAATGGGATTTCCGCCTCCATCCGGGCCAAATGTTTTCTATGATTCGGGCCATTATACTGGAGGCTTTCAACGCGCATTTTCCTAATCGGTTTGCGTCTGCTGGAGTCCCAGGTGACGATGTGGGGAAGATTGAATCCATCGCCTTTCATCAGGTCTCTCAGCCTCTTACTGCAGCTAAGGAGCCAGCCTCTTTTGACTTAGAGAGCTGGTCCCCGGATGAAGTCAGCCCAAGAGATCTGTGGAGGGGGGAGTGTCAGAACCCGCAAGGATAGCGGGGGCGGGCGGGGGGGGTTGTGACCTCCCCTCAACACCTGGAGACTTGAGACCCTTCACACCGCAGGTCACCATTTTCTCATTGCTCAATCACGCACATGCCCAGGGTTCCAACCCCACGAAAGGCCGAAAAGACCGAATGGAATCCTACAGGCAAAGCTCCAGTCTGAGGCCAGTCTCTGAGAGTGATTCCCTGGCAGGACCATTCCCCGAGTGTCTTTGTCAGTCTGGATTCACAGAGGACAGGACGAAATTCTTTAAAGCCTTGTCTTGCTGCTGAGCAGGAGCTGGAGAGATTGCAGGCAAGAGAGATGGATCCTAAGAAGGCCTGGAGCTGGGGAAAGAGAGCTGGGTCTGAACCTGGGACCCCAGGACTGCACATCTGAAAGGTCAGAGCATTGCCCGAGTGGAGAGAGCGTGGAAAGGGCTCTAACTCAAGCTTCTTCCTCTTATAAATTTAGTAAAACACACACTGTAAATTTTTACCTTATGTGTGTGTACATGCTAGTGTGTGTACATGCTAGTGTGTGTGTGCGCGTGTGTGTGTGCATGTGTGTGTGTGTATGTGTGTGTGTGTGTGTGTGGAGAGAGAGAGAGAGAGAGAGAGAGAGAGAGAGAGAGAGAGAGAGAGAGAGAGAGCTCGGCATAAGCGAGGCAAGTTGTGTCCTGCTGAGCTCCACCCCAATCCGTGTCACTGCTCTGAAATGCACACTAAACTCACACCGTCATGGACCATGTGTCATTTAGGGTTTGTCAACTTGACACAAACTAGACATCTATGGGGAGAGGGAACCCCCGTTGAGGAAGTGCCCCGTTACATTGGCCTGTGGGGCACTTCCTCAGTTAGCAGCTGACGGAAGAGCAGTGCCTCCCCTACGCGGGTGGTCCTGGGTAGTATAATAAAGCCGGCTGAGAAAGCCCCAGCCTCACTACTTACCTGCAAACAGTCATGGATGCAGAGAGAGGTCTCGGGGTTTGGGCTCCCTCCCATGCATGCCTACAATGGCAGACAAAGCCAGCATGACTGTGACATCACAGCCAGACACAGCTTCTGACTTCCCAGTGAAGGCTCTGCACAGTCTGCCAGGCCGGGACAGCGGGCCCCTTCCTCCAGAGCCCCTGGGCATCAAAAGCGAGCAGTGTGGAAAGGGATAGGACAGCCTGCAGGGCTGGGAAGGGGCTCAGTTGCTGCAGTGCTTGCCTAGCTCGCAGGAAGCCTTGGGCTTGATCCCCGGTGATGTGTAAGCCAGGCACGGTGTCACACTCCTGCAACCCCAGCACTCAAGAGGTGGCAGTAGAAGCATCAGATGTTGCAAGGCTGTCCTCGGCTATGTAATGACTTAAAGGCCAGCTGGGCTGCATGACACCTTGTCTCAAAGGAAAAACCACAGCTCGAGGCCTTAGGATGCTGACCTGACAAAGGGAGCTGGAGCCATCCCAGGTGATGGTGACTAAGAGGCCCCGGGGCCCCCAACCCAACCAGAGACCAAGGAGACCTCTGCGGCAGGTGCACAGGAACAGGCTCACATGGGCGGTGGGCAGAAGAGTGGGGAGGACGCTCAGGTGCAGCACGCAGTCTGAGCGAGGGCACGAGGTCAAGGAGCCATGTGGACGGGATACAGACAGCGGGGACCCACAGGCCACTCTGGCCAGTACAGAGCGTTCCTGGGCCACCAGGACTGTCAGCTGCGACCGGTAAGTGTGACTGGGAGAGAAGAGACTGGGGAACCAGGATAGGAGGCACTGTACGGTCTTACAGGTGACACCTGGGCCCAGGCAAGGTGAAGAGTACCTGTGCTTGAAAAGCTGGCTACAGACCCCGGGCCACAGAGGACACCTGAAGGAGAGAGCAGAAGACAGAGAGACCTTGCTTAAAGATGTCAACACGGCAGCATGATTGCCTGCTCCTGGAGTCTGAGCAGGAAGGGGTACCCGAACCTGGTGGAGCACCTGAGGCTGGTGGGGTATCTGAGCTTGGTGGAGCATTTGAGGCTGGTGGAGTATCTGAGCTTGGTGGGGCACCTGAGGCTGGTGGGGTATCTGAGCTTGGTGGGGCACCTGAGGCTGGTGGAGTATCTGAGCTTGGTGGGGCACCTGAGGCTGGTGGAGTATCTGAGCTTGGTGGAGCATCTGAGGCTGGTGGAGTATCTGAGCGTGGTGGAGCACCTGAGGTTGGTGGGGTATCTGAGCTTGGTGGAGCATCTGAGGCTGGTGGAGTATCTGAGCTTGGTGGAGCACCTGAGGTTGGTGGGGTATCTGAGCTTGGTGGGGCACCTGAGGCTGGTGGAGTATCTGAGCTTGGTGGAGCACCTGAGGCTGGTGGGGTATCTGAGCTTGGTGGAGCATCTGAGGCTGGTGGAGTATCTGAGCGTGGTGGAGCACCTGAGGTTGGTGGGGTATCTGAGCTTGGTGGGGCACCTAAGGCTGGTGGAGTATCTGAGCTTGGTGGAGCACCTGAGGCTGGTGGGGTATCTGAGCTTGGTGGGGCACCTAAGGCTGGTGGAGTATCTGAGCTTGGTGGAGCACTGCAGCCAGGAGGCACATCCCTGGTCCAGGAGCTGCAACTACACATCCAGGACTTGCTAGCCTCATGACTGGTTGCCCCATCTCTTCCCAGCCCACTCTCTTTTCTGCCGGTCCAGCAAAGGCCTTCAGACAGCTCTCAGGTGCCTCCCTCTCCCAGAAGCTGCTCTGCTCCCCGTCTGCACTGAGCTGGCATTTTGGGGGGGTTATCCCGCCTGAACCCCGCCAGCCCCACACAGCCATTGCCCAGAAGGCTCATTTCCATATATGTAGAAGATGCCATCTGCCTGCTTAGGTGCCTGTTGTCCCCATCCTGACGCCTTATCCGCCTGGGCTCAGCTCTGGGCAGCTCTTTAGGCCTTTTCCTAGATGAAGAGACCCCCCAAGAAGGCTGGGGCAGGATAAGGCCTCAGGTTCCAGACTGGCATGGGGGTTATGGAAGGCAACGAGGACTAGACCACCACCACAGCTGCCCCGCTAAAGTCGGCGCCGAGGCTGCCTCCAGAGCCCAGAAGTAGAAGCAGGGCTGAACCTTCCTTCGCCAGGAGGCCTGGGAGAGACCTCCCACTGCGATGGCTGAAGAGGGGCGGTGAGTGGCCACACCCGAGCACCCTTGTCCTACTTACACCAAGCTCCTTGGCAGTTGGTCAGGGGCAGAAACCAGAGCCAGGCACGATGGAGGGAGGAGCCCGTAGCACTGGGTGGGGGGGGGCAGTAGAAAATTCCAGATGCCGCAGGTTCCAGACACTGGCATTGGACGGCTCCCCAGAGGAAGTGACGACATTCCACGAGGCTCCCAAGGATATCAACCATGGGCTAACCAAGCCTGATCCTGCCCTGAGGTCCTGGGTCAACCATGGGCTAGCCAAGCCTGATCCTGCCCCGAGGTCCTGGGTCAACCATGGGCCAGCCAAGCCTGATCCTGCCCCGAGGTCCTGGGTCAAGGAGGCTCAAGGCAAGGGTCAGACAGTGACAGGACACAACTGGATCGTGGACGCCCACTGGGCCCACACCAGATGTTCACTTAGTCGTTTGACAAACGTTTATCGCTGCCAGGGACTGAGCACAGGTGCAGATGCCGCGTGCTGAGGTGGGAAGGAGCAGGAGCGAGGCCATGAGCGAGCGGGGACTGAAGCCAGGTTGCAGAGCCCACCAGAAGCCCCTATCAGGGGTGCTGCGACCCGCCCATGTCCCCCGTCACTTCTCAGCACCTGCTTTGGGGTTGTTCCCGCTCTCAGGCTTGGTGTGTCTTGTTACTGGTCCGTGCACTGCTCCCTGGGACTGTGAGTGTGCACGCCAAGCCCCGCGGGAACGTCCCTGAACACATCCCGTGAGGAAACCAGTGGCGGCTGTGCCCAAACCTCAGCACAGACTGGACGGTAACCCCACACACACTACCGCAACCTCCTGCTAGCAGGGACCCAGCAGCAGGGTCACCTGCCTGGCTGGCGTTTCAAGAATAAATACCGTCCGCCAGAGAGCACTTAGGGATCTTGAGTCCACTCAGCTCCGGCGGGAGCTGCCGCCTCCCAGGTGACCACCCCACCCCACCCCCAGCCACATGCTTTTAACGCTGAGGTCAGGGCATCTGGAACAATCCTGGGAGGTTCCGAAGACACATATGCGGTAATGAGGGCCAGAGTCAGGACGGTGAACAGGAGGGGACCAGGCAGCTGAGAGCAGCCCAGGACCGGCTGGGGAGGTGTGTCCGGGGGGTGTGTCCAGGGGGGTGTGTCCAGGCACTACAGATCATGCCTGCTCCACCAAGCTACACCACTGCTGTCTGTGAAGCTATGGGAGACACATGCCTACACACAACACACACACACATACACATATAAAACACACACACACACCCAGCACACATATATAGCACATGCATACAACACACATATGTAATACATGCACACAACACACATACATACACATACTATATATATATATATACATAACCATACAGACGTTTATCCACATACACAGTATACACACACACAAACACATATAAAACACACATACACCCAGCACACATATATAGCACATGCATACAACACACACACATGTAACACATGCATACAACACACATACATACACATACTATATATATATATGTATCCATACAGACATTTATCCACATATACAGTATACATGCTACACACACACACGCACACACACACACACACACACACACACACACACGCACACACCGACAAACCACACTCAGCATCCTCTGGCTGTACACAGCGCACCACATTAGCAGCGCGGAGAGAGGAGGCCTTTCCTCCGTGTCCGCGCCTTTCTGCAAATCCGTCTTCCTGGCCCAGCCTCCCCTGTGCTCACACACACACACACACACACACAGCCTCAGTGCTGAAGTCCCTGCAGGCTAAGGGATTGGGGGGGGCAGAGTAGCTGACTCCAGAGGCCGTCCTGGCGGAGAGGAGAGAAGGGAGAAAAGAGCTTCTGTCTCTGAGCTTCTACCAGAAGCTCCACCTGCCCCTGTGCGAGTAGACTGGGGTCCCCACGGGCAGAGAGGGTCTACGGTCCACGGCCACAGCTCTCTTCTTCAGGCCAGTCCTAAAGTGGGCCCCTTGGGGATAATACTCCCACCGATGACAACATTCCCTAGGAAGGACAAATACACTGGCCCCATCGGGATCTGTGAATTACTTGCGTGGTGGTGGCATCCACAGAGTCACCTCAGAGGTTCTGCCGGCTGCACTGAAGTCTGAGTCATGGGTGGGCCTAAAGGCCCATAGGTTAAAGCCATGAGTGGGAGACACCGGAGGCCCTGGGCATGCCTGAGCCTCGGAGTCTCCAAACCCATCCTGAAACTAAGGAGACTGCCTATCAGACCCCCCAGTCCATCAATCCCCCAATCCCACCCTGCTCCAGGCCCTGCTGGTCCTGGGGAAGGAGCCTCAGTCCTTGGGGGAGAAGTCACACATGGTGCCACTAACAACACAGGCGCCGAGGTCACTGCAAACATCTGCAAGTGTCCAGAGAACAGGAGGAGGGTACCCAGAGGTGGCCTGGGGTGGTGACAGACACGTGAGCACCCATCCGTCCATGACTGGTGCCTGAGCAGAGGACATGTGGCAGCTGATGCCTCATGGAAGAGGAGCGTGAGCTCGGGAGGGCATAGGTGTGGTCCCCGCACCCGCACGGGGCAGCTCGTAACTCCAGCTCCAGGGGATCCGATGCCTCTGGACACCCCTGGCACTTGAACTCACATAGCATAAGACACACACACACACACACACACACACACACACACACACACGCACATAAATTAAAAACGAAATAAAGTGGTTTAATTATTTTTGGTGTGTGTGTGTGTGTGTGTGAGAGAGAGAGAGAGAGAGAGAGAGAGAGAGAGAGAGAGAGAGAGAGAGAGAGAAATGCATGTGTATGTATGTGGGCATGAGTCCCACAGCACAAACATGCAGGTCAGAGGATAACTTTAGGGGGTTGGTTCTCTCCTTCCACAGTAGG